CTTTGCCCGACTCGGAAAACAAAGCCGATAGTCAAGATTTGTGAAAAGACACCAGACCAAAAACTCGTTTTCACCAACCTCTTCTAAATTTAAAAACCGCGCGCGCCTCCAAGATCCATCAGACCATCACAGATGGGGCCCAATAGGTCTGATGCCAATACGGAGCCGCGGAGAAATTAACGGGTAGCCGGGGCTCCAGCTCGACGTGCAGGAGAAGGAACGGGGTGGTTTTTAGTCAGTTAGAGTCTGCCACTTCTTGCCTCACCCGGGCGAGAGAAGTCGTTGGTTGATTTACCCACATCAAAAAAAAAAAATACGTAAAATCTGACAGAAAAATAAGGAGTTAGTTTAGGTATTACTCTACGGCAAGTAACTTTTAAAACTAAGTGATAGTTTTGGGGTTGGTTTGTAAAACTGCGACAAACGTGTGCGGTTGATGTGCAGTTCACCTAGTGAGATGTTCCACCGGTAATGTGATTAACACTATAGTACACAAGAATTATGGCCTTTAGCTCTGTACTAGGGTGTGTATCAAAGAAACCTTGCAAGAAACGCCCTTTGCTTGCCTAGGTACTAACTTATAGGTAATACTTGGGTTGTTAGTAATCGCGTGTTTGCTGTGAACCAACGATGTATTAGTAATGTAATGTTATTTTCTCTTATTTTTTTTAATGTTCTAAGGCAAAACAATTTGCCATAAGGAGTACTTCCGATATATAAAATAAATAAAAAAATGTCATATTGTTTACTTTAAAAAAAATCATGGAAGTACGCACATGAAACACTAGACGTACTTTTTAGGCTCTATTCAGAAATATCTCTTCGAGAAATACATGAACTGACGTTTTGATCATATAGGTACTATGATTTCTTATGCGATTTCGAAGTTAGCTTTTTGCAATGGTTCATGAGTTATTTTTTGTTTTTAACATTTTATTTCTTTGTAAAACTATTGTCTGCCAAGACAAAACTATTTTACTTTAGGACGAAAACGAAATAGATTTCACTGGGTATGTATATAAGTTGAAATTTTATCAAGTTGTAGCTTGTTTCTTGCACAATATCAACCTCTAATAAATTTATCTGTATTGTAGATTTTGACAAAAGGAACAAAGTTATAAAGGGCATTTTAATAAACAATAATTTAATTATGTTTTTAAGATGTTGGACAAACAGCCACAAATGTGAATGTTGAAAGGAAGTTGCTTTCGGTTCCCAGGCAAACTTTTGTAGATAGTGAAACTTTAACAAACAAATATAAAAATTAATAGTATTAATGAATAAGCAGGAAGTTAATAAGATTATGATAATAATTACAATTTACAAATATCTGATCACGGACAGGAAATATTCTTTGATATTATAATTATTATCTTTTGAATGACTCAATATTATAATCGTCAATCAGTAATTCGCTAACATTTTCCTAGATAATTTGATTTATATTTTCCGCCTACCTAGTTATTATTTATCGAAGGATTTGTGTATGATTTTGATTTATTATTACTCCCGAAAACGCAGGCAGGTGGTAGTAAAAACGAATTTTATTTACAAAAAATGTAAGAAATTAAATGTTTCTTATTATCAACTACTTAAGGTTGATGTTACATGAACAACAGTAAATCAAAAACGATTAAAATTGTAAAAATTGACTACATTGTCAGTAGCGATCCGTTCGCCTACCCTGTACGTCAAACTCTATGCCAGTCATGATTAAAAATCGAAGACAAACAAACCTAGGGATCATTTATATACCATTACTTTTAAAAATATAGAAAAATATTTCTAGTACAGCGTTCCGCGTTCCGCGCGCGCCTCAAGGAGCCATCAGACCGCCACAGATGGGGCCCAATAGGGATGATGCCGATACGGAGCCGCGGAAGACTTACCGGGTTGCCGGGGCTCCGGCTCGAACTCGAAGTGCAAGAGTGGGAACGGGGTGGTTTTTAGTCAGTAAGAGTCTGACACGTCCCGCATCACCCGGGAGGGAGAAGATAAAGGATGATTTTCCCCCTCAAAAAAAAAAATATTCAAAGAACGAAAAAAACATACGCAACTTACATTAGAATTTTCTTTATACTGCCTTTACTCAATAATTAAACGGTTGAATAATAATAGTGGGCTGTTTATGCATGAGCACAAAAATTGTGTTCAGTGGTTATTATACAAAATTTATGACAAAAGGACAATAGGTTGGTGTATCTATGCATATTAGCGTTTTATAGTCTTGAAGGATGTCAACACTAACCCTTAGAATACGTGTAATATTATCTCAAGTTATTTTCTGAAAGGATAAGCAGATATGTCTTGTTTTAGTTTTAATATATAATCTAAAATTTTGTCCAAACAAAATGTTGTCTCTTAAAATGTTATTCCGTCGTCAAAAAATTGTCTTATAAAAAGGTGCTTATAAAATATTGTTAATTTCTCGGAATCAATCAATTTTCATGAAATTCAAATCCTTTAATTAATTTTACAAAAACTTAAAATCTCAATTCAAAGAAACCTTTTGATAAAACTGCAGTAGCTGTATATACCGAACACAGCTGAAACAATTATACTGTTATACCTCTAATAACATTTTTAAACACGTTCTTCAGAAAAACATCTGACTGAATTTCAAGATACTTTTGGATAAACAGCTAAATAAATAACATTAATTATGGCGCAAAGAATAAATAAAAATTATGCATAAAGTTTGTCTTTTTTCAAAATCTTTAAAATCATGTAATACGAAGAAATATTAGTCATATCTTCGCTGTATATGTAAAACAAATAGAATTTGCTTCGATATAAATAAACTTGCTTGCTTTAGTATTAAATAGGCTAGGTTCATTTCCAATTGTGGTCCAGAATTCCACAAATAAGGTGAAAAATTGTAAAGAGTTCGGAATTATCTGCTGAATAGAGTCATACAAAGAAGATTACGTATATTTAAAAAATGGTTTCAAGATTCAATGGCAATCGAATTAAGGATGCAAAATCTGTGGTGTTACGTAAATTTTGCCAGCTCAAAACATCTTGACAGTACTTTATCTACATCTACTTCTTAGTACATCCTTCACAGTATGACTACTATGTTTTCAGTTAATCTCGACAGTCCACGACGTGAAACATTAAAATTACCATAAAGCGCGTACAAGACAGCAGGTCACAGAGATTTGCATAATGACCCGAGTATCAACCCACATGACCCGGTTTTTTGCCTAACTATGTTAACATTGGTAATCAACGTTTTCCTGTTACAAACACCGTGTCTGTTACAATCTCATTTTACGAGCATAACTTTCTCATGTCCCTGTGTTTTTAAACTAGTCCTTACCCGCAGTTTTGCCTCATGTCCTTGAATTTATCTTTCATCATGAATTTAGCCTATGTCCTTTTCCGTGCTTTCAGTTATAAGTATGCGATTTTCAAGAAGATTGGTTAAGTGAATTGAGTTAAAAGGAAAAACAATCAAACATATTTTCGCATTTATAATATACCTAATTTCATTTCAAGCTGTAACTACTATTGTAATCAATATCATCCATCCGCATTACATCCATTCATTTCACGACGATACACAAGAAAATAAACTTCACAATTGATATCTCGCCAAATATATTTTTTGTAATGTTTAAACGTAGAACGCCTACTTTGTTTTGTCGTTATTGTTTAACAAAGGCAACCCATGAATTATGCATGCCGATAACGTGTGATATCCACACTGTCAATGGTGGTATCAAGTCGAACAAATTTGCAAACATGTACAATATTGTGAATGGTTTAAAATCATTACCTTGTATTAAGCTTCGTTTCGATTTCATTTCTGGATCTTTCTCGAAGGTTCCATACGTTCTTACCCTACATTATTCATTATTTTATTTTATCATTATTATTTATCTCAGTATGCTTTACTAGCTTCATTTTCGTCTTCTTAAAATTATTCATTGAATTTGACATCCATAACTTCATACAAAACTAATTTATGTTTACACCTATCATTATTTTATTGCTCACTTGTAACAGTTGTATATTTATGAGAGATCGTATTAGAACTCAGTAGCTGAATAAAAGTTTGGTTACTCCAGAGATTACGTAATCGTTGTAAACATTATCACTTAACTGTTAGGCACGTAGCAGGAATGTATGATGTCCGGTCTTTTTTCTCTGACCTTGCTTTTAAGCTTACGTTATAAATATTTTTTTTAAACTTATATTACTTATTACTTACAACTTTATCGTTTGCAACATGTGTTATGTCATTAAAACCTTTATTAACAGAAAAAGAAAAGTAGATTGTAAATTTAGGCTTTGGTGTTGAAAACAGATTTTTTATTGTAAATAAATATTATTATTTATGAAACATGAACCCTATTTATCAATTCACAAACAATCATAAGGAAATGGCTATTCAAAACAATCACTTGTCGACTATAATGCACTGAGAACTGTAACAGATAACATTATCTGTAGTGATGGGCATCAAGCTACTGGATTATGTACGAATCGAACATGAAATGTGCGCATTATATCAAGAACCAACGATACTTAAATAAATGATAAGCCTACCAATAAATCCATAACCAGCATTTACCAAAATGCTATTCCGTTTACGTAATAATCTTTGCATTTCTGTTACGTCATCCAGCTCTATAATATATGTCATTGGCCTTGCTTCGCTATGGTCACAATCACGACCATGGCTCCATGGCACAAGCGCGATGACGAGAGCTTTTGGCCTTAATAAATCGTCATTTACAACGCCTTTATTACAATATAAATAAGGGACACGTTTGTCAATTGATTCACCTTTTGATTTATCGCTACTGTTTACTTGGAAATACGTTTTATTGGAAGTGTTTACTATAATTTATTGAGTTTTGTGATTTCTGTATTAATGTTTGGTTTATTTGTCTACAGGTAGCAGCTGTTGACGTTCGTAGAAGCAGCCAGCCAAAGGCAACTCTTTTTCTCGCCCCCCGCTCCCCGCATCCCCTTCCAAGATTGCTGCCACCATGGGTCGGAAGAAAATACAAATATCCCGGATTACGGACGAACGGAATCGGCAGGTATGTGTCGCAGCTTTAAAGATTTTCAATATAAAGCAACATTTCTAAAAAACTTACAATTCATTAAAGGCATTTCGTAAATATTTCGTAAACATGTAGTAGCTGTACTGACTATGACTAACCAATAATTACGGTTGCTAAAATTCTCGAAACGAAATCGAGAAGCGACGTATTGGAGAATAGTAAATCTTTCCGCAGCCGATACTAATGTTTAAATTTATGTTAGATACGAAAATCATCAATCATTCGTGTAGTGTGATGTTCGTACATACTGTGCAATATTGGAGGCTAGAGTGAAATGACCTTACCATGAGGCATGACCTAACAGATGCGGCCTATCAACACTCCCACTGCAAAACATTATCGCGACGGGCAACGACCGCTCCCGCTTGTAATTTATTAATTATACGATTACACTGTATATCAACCTTGTCCAGTTTATTATGACCCTACAAAGCATTCCTCTTCTCCCCCACACTCAAAGCACATTTTTAATTACAAGGGAGCAGAGAAGCTCTTTGAACATGGTCTAGCACCAGTACCAGCAGACATGCAAAATTAAAATTGCTAAGGTCAATTTACTTTTGGCGGTCCAACTTCCTTTGTTCTTTAATATGGTAATACTTTAAATTAAATACGATTTTGCAATCACTCTACATATTTAGTTGTATATACATATAACAGGAAACAAGAAGTATAATACTATAACTCGTTACTTGTTCCTAAACAAATGTGCTTACCAGAACACTATCGATTTTTTTTGTTGAGTTTATTAAGGAAAATTACAAATTAACCGCAGATGATGTACACCGAACAATGCTGCATTATTTACTAGCTTCCAATATTGGAATTTCAAACGTATTGAATGACACATAGCTTTGATGCTATGAGTTTCAGTAACAATTATTTGACTTTGTCCGTGACCCAATGAAATTCTTTTGTTTTCATTTCAACAATATACAAAATGAAGAGTTAATGATACGTCTAGTGGATCAAAGTGAAATTGAAACTACATACATAATTAAAAACTCTAAAATTATGAACTTATGTGTTTCTGACAATATTGAAGTATTTTTAATTATATTCTGAAACCTATATGCACAACAATAGCTTCGAACGCAATAAGCATTTAAATTTAGGTTTCTACGTTTAGAGATGTAAATATAGGTCATATAGTCATGTGTCATACCAGAAAAGCAAAATAACAAATCCCAACAGAATTTTGAATCAATCATTTTTTATGAAAAAAAAATTAAACCAGAAAAATTATTTGACCAACGATCATCTTTATTTCGTAGTTTTGCATTTACTTCTTCATTGTCATTAATCTCTTTTTTCTTATATTCCAGGTCACTTTCAATAAGCGTAAATTTGGTGTAATGAAGAAAGCGTATGAGCTTAGCGTACTATGTGACTGCGAGATCGCTCTCATCATCTTCAGCTCCAACAACAAACTCTATCAATACGCCAGCACTGATATGGACAAGGTTTGTCATTACTTTTAATTCCTTAATGACTTTACCTTCTATAAACCTTTGTGTTTCACCTTCATAAAATACCTTATCAACCATAAAAATCATATTTTGATGACCAATAACTAAAATAATGCTTATATTTTTATTACAATAGCTATAGTTAAACAATTTATTTGTTTAGTTATCGTCTATAAATGTCTTATTCTTCAAGAATAAACTATAGCTTCCTGTTTTCTTTCATCATTTACGTATTCAGATGGTTCTTTTCTTATATTTCGATCATTTGATATTTTATTCATATCATCAAATTCGATTTTATACATTCTAAATATTTGGCGTCACTTAAATGTTGTACATACGTTGATTCTATATCTATTAACATTTCTTTGCTTAAATCTGAATAATTAATAATAGATTTAGCTCTTTTTATTTCCTCTCTTTTAATCATTGCTCATAAGGTCGATAGATTTTTTTATTAATGTGTTTCTTGTGATGTCGTGTTTATAGCTTTAAGTTATAAAATGTGTTTAAAGGCAAAATATTTCATTCCAACAGTTATGGAATTAATTTCTTTTACCGTGGTTCTTGGTAATTTATCGTAACACGGCTAACACGCCCTACTTATAATGCTGAGCTTTATATTTTAATGGAAGTCTTTGTTATTAATGTTAGAAACTACTTTTTAGTTTTATTTATGTTTTATTGTTCAAAGAATAACGATATTAACTGATTTGAACTCAATAAATAGACTTCCCACTCTTCTTCATTTTATATTATGTATAAAAGTCCAGATAACATTGGCTGATGTGAATATTTGGCGAATTTAATAGCGCATATCTAGCTACCGCAATATCAAGAATTCAGAAAACCCTTAACATTTCATAGTCTAAATCTATACAGAAACACAAAAGAAAACTGTTGGGTAGATATTTATTTCGTTGACAATACAATCCTTGGAATATAGGAACACAATACTTAATAGGCACATAAAATACGTAATGACGTTTGTTTCTTTGCAGGTTCTCTTGAAATACACGGAATACAACGAACCCCACGAGTCACTGACAAACCGCAACATCATCGAGGTACATTAAGTACGGCGTCATCTGTGTGCCCGTGATCGCAATGCAATGTCCATGCAAAATTGACTTATCCCATTAACCGCGTGCTTTGTACTTACACACAATACCTAATGCATACATTTTGTTACTAAAACAATCCCTGATATACAAGCAAATGTTGTTGAGCCACACTAGATTATAAATGTAGATCTCGTACCCAAAGACCTTGTGTAAACGATATCTCATCAATATATACATAATATATAAGAATAGAGAAACACGAGCTATAAAGCAGCAGCATGTTTATTTCCTGTTAGAAAAAAGGATGAAGTACGAGACACCAGAACCCCGTTTTATACTAACAGTTTATGACTAGATACCCCAAATATTTATGTTATTTTTTCCTGTACAAGCATGGGTTTTGTAAATAAATTTTGTGTTTATTTGAATTAACCGCGCCTACCTGACTCCAATGTTTTGAGACAAGGGTAAAGTCAGTGTTGCATCATTGCGTTCGACACCACACAAATGTACGCTAAAAAGTTTTCACGTACAATTTACCTTAGTTACACTGTAAACTGTAGTTTATTGAGAGCACTGTTTTATTTTGAACCCTCCACTACATACTGACGTGATAAAATCTAAACAAAGCAAACAGTAGCAATTACGTTTAACGCGATTTATGCTGATAACACTAATGGTGTGTATAGAGGGTGTAATCTAATAATTTAACAGGAGTTTAATGCATGCCAGATTAATACAGTACGAGTAGTGTAGTTATAAGTTTGGCTCGTCAAGCCACCTGAGCTGTTTTCGCTGACACTTACAGGCACTAACGAAGAAAGAGCATAAGAACGGAGTGATGTCACCGGACAGCCCGGAGGCGGAGCCCGAATACAACCTGACACCGAGGACCGAGGCGAAGTACTCAAAGATTGACGAGGAATTCCAAATGATGATGCAAAGGAACCAATTGAATGGGAGCCGAGTTGGAGTGGGAGTGGCTGGTAGCAACTACAACCTGCCAGTCAGCGTCCCAGTTGGCAACTACGATCAAACACTACTTCAAGCTAGTCCACAAATGCACACTTCTATCAGTCCACGGCCATCGTCTTCGGAAACCGATTCAGGTATATTTAAATTCTTGTAGTTTTGTCAATTTTATCATATCCGAGTTCTTTACTAAATTTTATGCGTATTTCTATTCCAGTATACCCAAGCGGCGGAATGCTAGAGATGTCAAACGGCTACCCAGGTTCAGGATCTCCACTAGATGCAGGTTGCACGCCGTCGCCCTCGCCGGGCCCGGCACCGTCACCTCACCGGCACGGACACAAGTCTCATGGACATGCACCACCGCCGCATCACTCGCCGCGGCACAACAACTTGCGCGTCGTCATACCCAGCTCAATGCCACCACCACAGGATGACATATCTTACGCTGGAGAGGTGATTAGCACACACTTTTCTGCCACTTTCAAAATCATATACTTTTCAACAGTACCCTTTCTGATTCAAATTAAGTGTATAATCAAAATTATTCATCGATTTACAGTGTTATTTCTCCCTTCCAGTAGTTTCGATAGCATCTACCTCGAGATTACTAGTACCAAAATTACGGCTTGACTAAATATCAGCATTGTACTTATTTCTATCTTCATTTTACTTTCAGACACCACTCGGCTACTCAGGACTCGGCAATTTCGGACCACAAGATTTCAGCATCAACTCGGACATGGGCATCGGACTGACGTGGGGCGCGCATCAGCTCCAGACGCTACAGCACAACAGGTACATGTCTGTGATCACTTTCATATCACTTTTTATATGTGTCGCTTAAACGAGGTCTGTTTCGACTAAGTCAACCTTCATGGAAGCTTGGAAAACCAAAATAATGTTAAACTGTAATGTGAAAGTGTGACGGGGATATTGAAAGGAGAGTGAAAGCGGGAAATAGTGTTAATGGTGCTTTACACTCTGTAATGTCGAGTAAAATAATATCCAGCAAAGCTCGACTTGCTGTAATGCAGTGTGTATTGACACCAACGCTTATGTATGGTAGTGAATCATGGGTGTGGCAGAAGAAGCATGAAAGCAGGATTAATGCGGTGGAAATGAGAGCCCTGAGAAGTATGTGTGGACTAAAATTGAGTGATCGAGTGAAAAATAGTGTTATTAGAGAGAGGTGTGGATTGAAAGACGATGTAGTGACAAGGATTGAAAAGGGAATGTTACGCTGGTTTGGACATGTAGAAAGGATGGATGAAAGTAGAGTAACGAAAGAAGTATACAGAGCGGATATGAATGGAGCCGTCGGTAGAGGGCGCCCTAGACGGACATATAGTGACCAGATTGGCGATATATTAAAGAAGGGCCAAATTAAAAGTACCCTTAACCGACGAGCATGCATGAAAAGATTGATGACTGTTAATGAAGCGAAAGAGGTATGTAAGAATCGTAGTAATTGGCGTTCCTTAGTCTCTGCCTACCCCCATGGGAGACAGGCGTGAAGTTATGTATGTATGTATGTATGTAATAAAGGATGTTTTTTTTTGGAGTTCATATTTAGAATTATTAATGATATAAAGTAATGGATTAGGTTGAAACGGATCTCTATATTGTTGTCCTACAATTTAAGCTTCTGTGTTAACTAAGAAACAAAAAATATACGCACTATAAAAGAAAAACGCAACATTAAAACAAATGTACGAAAAATCCCAAAAAGATGTGTTCCGCCGTGACAGTGTAATCACTGCCGTGACCAGGATTCGAACCTGGGTTACTACGGCCACAACGTAGGGTCCTAACCACTAGACGATCACGGCTATCGGAACAACTGGTTGCATTGTTGAAAACAACAACTACGTTGAGAATGCTTACATAACATTTCGCGATCCATTCACGGTTGCGTGCGCACGAGTTGCTAAAAAGTCGTAAAGCTGGCAAATTATTCCATTATAATTTGTATGGAAGTAACTGACCATTTAATTTCATTATGCCTTCATTTAGGAGATTAGAATACGTATAAACATCTTAATAATTTTTATTGTTCACATTTAATTATTTTAGACTTAAATAAAAAAAATCGCATATTTTTTTTTATTGCGGATGACGTTAATCAAAGCTAGGTACAAAAAGAATATACTTAAATGAATTTGAATGACTGTTTTGTTACCATGTGAAGGTTGCTGAAAAAAATATAAAGCTATGACACGTGTAGGACAAAAAACAAGAATATAAATGTACTGTAATACTGGAAGTAATTTGGATTTGAAATCGCTATTATAATTATGATTATGGTAATTTAATTTAGTGTAATCTTTAATAAACTTATTTTTGCAACATAAAATATTATGTATATAATTTTTTCTACCGTCACTGATGAGTGCCTTCTAACTTTGCGCCAGTTAGTCCTACACTAAAAAAAAAGTGATCGAAAAAAACTAAACCAACTAAGCTTTTTCAAAATTGACAACTGTTAATAAAATGAAAAAAAAAACTTAAATAAATATTTCATAAAAAATAATATTTTTCAAATTATAAATCCTGTCTAATTAGTAGTATATTGTTATAATACAGAGCTACGGCCTTTAGAGTTCAGCTCTGTATAGTACAAAACTTATACCAAATAGGTACTCTATAACACTGGAGTAAACGAAAAAAATAATTGCCAAAAAATCGAAAAAAAAAACGAAATACAAGGACGTTTTTACAAGGACAATACGAGGCACAATCTTAACTGAATGTCTTCCGGGAGGCGTAGCGTGTCGAATGAACGAATGTCACGCATGAACTGAATCAGATTGAAACCGAATGATAGAAGAGAAAAAAAAAAGAAAAAAAAGTACAATTAATTTGTAAATACTTTTTGTAGTAAATTCGCGAATTGTTGATAAGATTGGTTAGAAAAAGCTTTTAATCATTGTTTTGAGTGGTTGTAATTATGTTGACTGGTTCGGTTAATCAGTTTTTCAAACGTTACCAGTCATACAGAATATCAGAATCACTAAGAATTCTACGGAAAAACAGCAATATACTATGGTATATTATAAAAACGATGTAATAGTCTTTAACGCAGAGCTTAACTCTCTTAACAAAACTAAAAAATATTTACAAAAAATTAACCTCTACCGTGACAGTGTAAATCACTGCCGTGACCAGGATTCGAACCTGGGTTACTACGGCCACAACGTAGGGTCCTAACCACTAGACGATCACGGCTACAGAGGCTGTATACAGAACATTAAAATTAACAGTCTCTTTGCAATGTGAAAGTCGTTCACCGGTTTTTCTTAACAACTGTTCGACTTAAATGCCCTTGCTCTTGTTATTCGATAAGTTCTGACTAACCATAAGAGATGGCGTTGTTATAAATATTTAAAACTGGACACCAAAAATGTATTGTTTAGTATCAAAATCTGTGTTTTCGCTTTACATTAATTGAATTATGTAAATAAGTTTGTATAGATAGGTACCGTGTATAAAATCGCATTACAATTTTTACTCATCACACAGTTACAAACAGCAACAGAAATGAAAATTAATTTTAATTTCCCAAAAATATAATCTCCGCCATGACAGTGTAATCACTGCCGTGACCAGGATTTGAACCTGGGTTACTACGGCCACAACGTAGGGTCCTAACCACTAGACGATCACGGCTGTCGGAGCAGTTGGAAATTGGACCAAAAACTGCAACGATATCGCGGCAATGTTGATTATAGGACCAGTTTCATTGATCTGCCCTACCCCCCGCACTGTAAAGAAATCAAGGCGACAGAGGGGGTGTTTGTACTTATCGAAGTGTCACTTTCACTTGCCCGATACGCATGAGTGCGTTAATCGAGCACTGATAATTGCAAAATAAATTATCTCTATTGGTTGCTATGGTGTCTTATACGTTCTTTGCATGTTTCTAATTGGTTGTTATGAATTAAACATGATGTTGCCACTAGTTGCCAGCTTATCAGGCGTATACTGCCGTTATGAGCTACCAATGCCGGTTTGCTTGATTAAGTACTATGTTTTTCAAGTGATATACATATGTACTTGCGTATTATATTATGCAATGAGAACGTTGAAAGATAATGTTTGTGGTGGGCTATGCTCCAAAAACTCGCATTGCTAAGTTTTGACGATTTATATGTCCTGTCCCCTGTCTTTACATTTGAAAAATAACGAATAAAACACTATAATATGATATTATTATTAAAAAAGTAGACGAACATCTTGTATTATGCTCAAAAACCAATTTTTATGTATAGATTGTAATCTATCAATAAGAAATTTGTCTCTCAAGAATCTCTCTAATTCCCAAAGATTCTTTGTCAATCTTTTTCCATGACTAATGAGTCCAATACGTCAACAGTAGCAGCCTGCCAGTATTGGGCGGGGGTGGAACGCCACCACCAGCGGCATCGCCAAGCAACGTGAAGATCAAAGCAGAACCGGTGTCGCCACCTCGTGCGCCTGACCATCTCCACCGCGCGCCGCCACCACAACCAGCTCCGCAACCCGCGCATCTCTCTGGCGTCATTGATGGTGGGTACTCCATTTCATAAATTACTAATGGCTTTTATGAACAATTGCTTGATATTTTGTTTAGTGTTGATTAAAGTTTTGCGTTTTTATTTACCAGGGCATAAATTGGCAAGTAAAACATAAAAAATAAATATATTGAGGTCAAAGCTTTAATCAACAATATTGTGTTATTTATTGAAATAATTTAAAATGAATATTTTTATTATAATAAAATAGCATGAAATATTTTGTAGTGTGAATTAATTATTTACTAATGTGTGGACAATGACAATTAACCAAACTAACGTTACCAATTACAGTGTATCGGCACGTTGCAGGTTCAGTGTCTTCGAGCAACATGGGCTCGCCGGCCGGGCAAGACATGCGGCACTCGGCCGTGCCACTGGACTATGAGCAGCCGCACACGAAGCGGCCGCGGATCGAGGGTTGGGCCACATAGCTAGGCTATGAGGCCTTCGGCTCGTACCCGAGGCCCCTGCACCCGCACTGCTAGACCCGCGAGGCCCCGCACTCTCGCGGCCCTCTATCGAGCTTGTGACCGTCCTCCGGCATGCTCCACCCGGACTGAACAGTTCCCCCGCGGCACAGTGCTAATCTTATCACTAAAGAAGTCTGATAAGCAAAAGGTGCATCCAAATTAAACGGTGCTTACATTTTTGATGGCACGGTCGACTAACTCTCGAGAAGCTGCCCCACTCCCCGGGCGTAGTACGTTACATATTCGTATATAATTGAATGTTCAACTTTACACTACCCTCTATTAATACGTAATTAATTATTGTAATGCACACAAGTACACTAAAGATTAAGATTAAATGTTAAAATTAAGTACAATAGCAACCCTTCTGAACAATTTTGAACTTTAAGTACATATAGATAGATATTGAATTCCCCTGTAAATAGACGACATTATATGTGCAATCCGTGCCATTGTCTGTTTAGCTTAAAGTTAGTCAATTTAAAGATTAGTGAGTAAAATGTACTAGTGCAGTATAAGTTGAAGGTGAGTTGAAGCGGTTGGACGGCGCGCGGCGTTGTGTAGTGCTATGGACACGGACCACAAACTGTGTGAGGTGGGACTTGTAATCAAACGACTGTTGACATTTTGTGTTAGTGTTTTAAAAGTTTTTTGTGCCATTTTAAAAATTATAATAATAGTGTGACATCCGAACTTGAATCTGTAAATTTAGTAGTCCTAGTGTCATCACAGAAGATAATAAATTATATGTATTGTAAAATCTACTTTATCTATTGACATATTTATACATGAGAATCATAATGGTATTTACATGATATGTATACACGTCCCGTTAGGAACGAATGTTATGTAAGTAAGTAGGTAATATTAGCTAGAGTTGAGTATATAAAGGTACCACACGAAGCTTTAAAATTTCTTATGATAACACTTGCACTCTAAGCAGATTTTGTATGTAAAACACAGTTTATATCGTAAACATTAGAACTCTTGACACTTCGAAACTGACAATTCAGTTCGACAGATTAAAAATAATATAAATTGTTAATGGAATATCACTCGATTTTTGAGTTTCGCTTGAAGCTATACCAAATAGCGTTACATATATTGTAAGCGTTTTAAATGTTACAAATTTAATTTTCTTCTGAAGTAAATCTGTCTACGCTTCGATATTTATCTTGTTCAACCAATCCCATTCATATGTATCATCAATATGTATGTATGTATGTATGGTCGTATATCGTTGCAGACCAAAATATATCGAGTCAATTTTGTATATCAAAATGTAATTTACTTGTTAGGTATATGTAAGTTTGTTTAGTAACTGTAATGGGTTACGAATAAAAATGTATGGAACAACTTTGTTAAATAGTACTTTTTATTTTGTTAGTGTGATCTGAAGTAAGTTTTTTATTTTTATTTCTACTTAAATGTAAACTAGAGCTATGTAACGATGAACAATATACCTACAAGTCAGCTTTAAGCACAGACAAAATTATATTTTACATTATAATATTTACACTAAAATATGCACTATATCACAATCCGCCCTATTTTTAGATGTTATTGTCTGAAAGAAACTGTACATTGTATCGTCCATAGTTCATAAACTCCCTCATCTCTCCCCGCTTTCCTTAGTCGTCGCTTGCTCCCCTCCCGTAGCACCAAAGTCCCCATTCTCTCAAGTCCTGTCCCCCTCTTTCCCCTTCCCATATCGTCTCACTGTAGTTGCCTTACTCACAGTGCCTAAATGTACCATTTTTATACCAAAATTTGTATGTTATAGCATTTTTGCTTTAATATTCACATCCTGGTAATCTTAAGTCATTTGATGATGTTAATTGTTCTGCTCATAGTACGCTTCCTGTTAAGATACAGTCGGAGACTGAAGTAAAAAGAGTATCCAATAATAATATTCTAGGTGTACGTTTGGTGGCATGGTTAATATTAATAAATGTTTCCCGCTTTTTAGAGTTTGTGACAACTGACCCCGCGGTATGCACTCTTTTTATTTTTTCTCTCGACTGTACGCTCGTACTAGGGTCAGAACGATGCCTATAATATATTTCTGTATCACATTTTGTCAGTGAAACTGTATAAATGTGTCTATAATTATAATATAATGTGTAATTAAGAGTAACGAACAAGTTCACATCATAGAATATATCACTAGAGTAAACCTTCAAATCACAGTAACAAAATGTAAATCGTACACTTGTTAAATTTGTACAGGGAGTTTTCCACGTTTGAGGTTCAAAAGTCTGAACTGAATATTAAAAAAAATAATAAAAAAATAAAATGTATTTTCGCATTGTAACATAAGTACACGGTTAGGTTTAACGAATTAATATTTTATTACCGGATCATAATGGATGTTGACCTGTTTATAGGGAACTATTTAAAGATCATGTAAGTACATCTTGAATGTTAGGCTAAATTGTTAATGTGATATAATTACCTACACTGTTACTGGGCCCGACCATTGTTGAACCTTGTGTCGTCGTCACTGTTATGTATTGGACGTGTTTACAGTCACAGTTTTCTTGTTGTCCGTGACGACCTTTGTAAATTCCCCTCCCCGGGCCTCGTAGTTTGAGATTCTACATTGCGTTATCTTCTATTTCGGTCGTTCGTTCCTAAAAGTTCCTTTCTCTGGTAACGTCAATGTGTTTTGTATTAAAACTTGCTCAATATTTTCGGCGATGATGCGAAATCCTTTGTTCTTGTTAGAATTCATTTGTACTTGTCCGATGTAGAGCGTGGTATTATATTGATAAGTGTTGCATTGTACGATATCAGGCAAGTTTCTACCTATATACCTATCACAGTACAGACGCACTGGTATAAGGACATAGCCAAATTAATGAATGCAATTTTGCACAAAACACACATTGGTATTGGATGAAATTGTTAACAATAGGTAACATTTCCTTGTAGAGTGATCAAGTGACGAATACGTACGTTATCGCTTGCACCGTCTATTGTATCAATGTATTGTATAATATTACGACAGTAAGCTGGTGTTGGGAGCATTATTTCCGAGGTTGTGAGCTTTGCTATCGGGAATGAGTTTCAACTTTAATTAATTAATAAATATAAAGTATATAAATAAATATAATTATTCATTTCGACGCACAACTGTGTTGTGTGTTATTGTAAAGAGCGTTTGTTTGTTCTTTATATATGTACCTACTTTCGTAATATATGTGTTAACCTATATATCGCTGTGAGACAATAGCAAGGGGCTTGTTCAGTTCATTTATAATCTAGTTGATTGCATTTAAAGATACGTAGTCATAAGTATGGGATAACAAAAAATGTTTTGCTGAACTTATTCACAGTAGATGTCGATGTATTTACTTTACCCTGTATTTGCTATTGCACCACAGTATATCGTGAACAATCCAAATAGTATATAGGAATATAAATACATATCCTTATTGAATACTCAGAACGATTTCACATTAATTTCTTGTAACAACAGTTGTGCAATACATATATAACAAACTGCTTAGGTAGGTATTAGGTATATTTTCGTTTGAATTTTAAAAAGAATGCAAAATCTGTTGTATTTTATCGATATTTTTACTGATAATATGACGAGGACGCCGATGGTTTTCCGGAGGTGAGCCTCGGGAATATTAAGTCATAATTGTGTAATTATTTTTTAAGGTTAGGCCGGGCCAAATATTGCATTAATGTAGGTTGCTCGGCGCCGTGTCTTTGTGTCGAGGCAGTCCTGTCTGCCCTATGTATTATAATTGTATGATGAATGAACATCTCAGTGGCTGAATGAAATATTAATGTTTATCGACAGTGTTAGAAAATTGTTATAAATTATTTTGATGACTGTTCGAAGGATAATAAAGAGTTGGATGTCAAAGTTTGTTGTTTATTTTGCAATTAAACCTGACCTTAGAATTAATAAGTGACTGTATTTCACGACCTACACGAAACAATCATTTTACTTAAATTAGCCATATTGATGAGTTAATTTTAATTCCTACTCTGCAACGACTTGAACAATCAACAACAACATTTTAATCTTTCAGCAAGTTAACATTTCTAATAAATATTATTTCTTTCACATTTTAATATCTACTTCATCATCTTCAAATATCATTTTTCACTGAATCACCAAACGCAGCCCTAGACACAGTGCTTCCATTCTCATCCAAAGACTCCATATCACGGGAAAAAATTCTTCGTCTTTTCTGGTCTTTTTCGAATATTTCTCGAACTTCTCTATCCAAATCTAACGAGCTGGACCTTCTAGAATCAAACCTATCAACATTGAAAGTATTATGGACATCGATACTGCTTTCAGTAACATGTATTACTTGACCTTCTAAGGTATCCACAGAGACTGAAGAAGACGGTCTTTCCTCAAAATGCAGTCTACTCTCAGTGTCTTCTATAATCCTTATTTCACTATCAACATCAGTTTTAGGCGTTATTATTAAATTTTCCCTAGAATTTGCACTGGTTGGTGTTTCGGATTTTTTCTGGAATCTACATCGCCTTGTGAAGCCTCCCATCCATTCTGAGACTAATGCTGTTGCTGCTATAGTGAAACCTGCTGCTAGAAGAAGGAACATGCCTTGTGTATCTTCTAGAGTTAAACCTTTTTCTTCTGCTGATGGGATATTGATTGTACCGCTACCAGCCTGTAATATAAACAAATGCAGTCAGGGTCTATTGATGGTGCTAAATTATCTTTCCTCTTCATTGTAAATGATTTGCTCGGTTTTAAATAAAATTACATATATGCAAAATGTAACCTAATTTGAACCTCAAAACGAACTATAAATACATTCATTTAACTGTTAAGTTACAATAATTGTTCGCTAAAATAAGTGCCTGACCAAAATATCTTTAACATGCCTATATCTACAAGTTGCTCTACGCAAAATTGGTTTACACTCACAGCCAGTAAAGTCCCAGTGGGGCTCCGTTGCATTTCAAAGCGAACTTCGTTAGTAATCTTATAGATTAAACCACTTTGAATCATCTTGCTGATATCTAAATTCATTTTAGCAGAGTACACAGAATTATTTGGAAATCCAATAGTAATTCCGAAAGGTACGAAGCATTTGTTGGAAATGTGGAGGACTGCGCGCTTTGATCTGTAATACAAATAAATAATATCACGCTTTATATCCCCAAAGGGGTAGAGGTGCACATTACAGTACTTAGGCCACTGTACCATGTAACACCCACTTTCACTATTTTTTATGTTATGAGTTCTATGTAATAGGAAGTGAGCGTATTGCCATATACCGGGCACAATTGCAAACTACTGCTAAGATTTTGTTTAAAAAACCCAGGTTTACTTTTGCCGGATATCTCGACCCGGGAATCCAACCCGCTACCCCTTGCCCGGCAGACTGAACAAATTTTTTTAAAAGAAACCATAGCATTAACTTAAGTGATATAAGTTATAAACTCAACAACAAATGACCATGCAATTAGAATTGTCTAAATGAGGTTGTGGATGCTAAAACTTACTTAGTCGCTGTGAAATTTGCTTGTACAATATATTCAAGTTCAGCCTTGGATCCTAAAAAAGCATGAGGCCAGAAGAATGCCTTGGTTGTATTTCTGATACCTGCTTCCACACTCGGTACCAATTCAAGTTTTCTCAACAACTTATTAGTTTGAGGATCAGATGAATTTAGAAACCATTTTTCCCAACCACCTCGATCTGCATAAGTAGAAACAGAAGCCTAAATATCAGATGATCATACTATGGACAAAGTATTAAGCAAGAATAATTTAAAAATTTTACCCAACGTGCCAACTCTATAAAATCCAGCCAACAATTGCTTGATAGTATCCACAGTTTCAGGAAACACTGGTAATGTTACAAACGCTATAATAGAACCAGTGTAACAACTTGTTATTATTATTGTGAAAATCCAGTACCACCCTGATGAAGACAATTCATAAATAAATGTTTTCATTCTGCTCACAAGAAACACTATTGTTAATGAAATTCTACTTACCAATCAAAAGCCTTGTGGTAATCTTATTAGTCTTGCTCCAAGAATTCTTACCAAGAAACGTGAAACAATTTGTAAATGTACCAAAAACGTACCAGAACATGTTTTCTATTTCTCCACTATTGTGTATCAAATGTCTTAAAGTATGCTTATCAGAGAAAGCCAGTGGAAACATGCCGAAGAGATAGGTGAACGTTAATGCAACCCAGACATGCCAATGGAAAGGGCCGAGGATCGCTCGATAGCTGGGAAATGGTAGAAGAGAATTAATTTAACTCGTCGAGTACCGGTTTTATAGACACAATTAAAGAACAATAGGTCGCGGTCACCGGTGACCGCTTGGTGTTTGACAGTTTAATAAAGGTTTAGATGCCTCGTTCAAGTTTCGTGAAAACATCAAAGGTAACATCTAAAATGTCTTCATATTAACTAAATTTCATTTGTAATCTGTGTGTATATAAATTATAGAATTTTGAATAAAAACTTGATGATGATGATGATGCAAAAATTCAGGTGAAAGAAGTTATGTAGTTACCGTGGTAAAGCTGTTGACATTAGAGTAACAAAAACAGCACAATCGTGAGAATGCGCCAAAGACATATCCATTTCTCTAATTCGATCATTGGTTAAATACATCCCAGCGATTGCAATATCTGCTCGTCCTGTGACTATTTCTTTAGCTACAGCATCACCAGGCCTTATAACAAATAAGAAAATATCATTAACTACCTCAGTTGACTTCTTATTCTCCTTTACGTCATAATTTATTTACCCTAAATTAGGCTCTCGAGGTTCAATGATTTCTATAGAAAAGTTGTTCCTTTCTGCCAATAATTTGATCAGTCGTAGTTCAATGCCATCCCAAACCACTCGAGGATTTCCACCGTCTAAATCTGATTTGATCCTAAAAGGAACGAATGTTTAATAATAGAAAAAAAATGATGTTTGTCTTTTTTCTACTACCTTTGTTTCTTTATCTTACCTCCGGAACACAAATGGAGGTTGGTTGGCAGCTGCAACCACAAATCTGTGACCAGCGTAACCTTCCGTCATCTTGAGGGGAAATAAATTGACTTCTCTTGAAAATTTTCCATGAGTCCAAGAATTCAGAACAAGTGGCTGACTGGCACCTAAACCATCTGTATACAATTTATGAGTATACAGAATGTAAGGTGATTCCTAAACAATAAAATAGTGAAAAAAAAATGTTATTTATTTTACTTATTCACACTCAGATATCACCCTTAATTTAAATAGCTTTTACTGTACTAACCAGTTTAGCATCATCGCCTTCCTTAAAACTCTGCCCCACTACAAGAAGATTAACAAAATTTCTCGATGTGACACTTGCAAGAAACTCTTGCACGGCCCATTGAGAAGATCTTGCAATAATAATAATTTTGTTTTCCGGTTGTTTTCCCAATATTTTAGCACTGATCTTTATATCCGACAGGAATAGAATGTAATTTTGGCATTCTATCGTTGCATGAATCAGTTCTGGTTCTACTAATTCTCCATCATCGTTGATATAACCATGAATGAAAGTCGTCGGGAACCCTTTTAGGAGATTTTGCACCAAATAACTTTCCTTGGACATGACTTGATTGTCATAAAGAATTACTGGCGTGCAGTCCTTTAGATAAGTCAGTGTTATATTATGCAGTAATTTCACAAGCGATGGTGTTTGGTCAAACGATGTAGTCTCGTTAAGAAACCGTTCATTCCACAATTCTTCTCTAGTCTTTGGATGACCGTAAAAGACGGGATCTAAAGCTCTTTTATGAATGTCACCATCATCAGTATCGTTATTAAAATGCCTCCAATAACTGTCGCTTCCATTTATGTTGAGATTAGGATCATCAGTACTATTTACTTCTCTTTTTCTGACGACTTTGTTATTCATATCTAAGACAGATTGAGAAGGATAATACTCGATAATTACTTCTGCACCAAAAACCACATGATAAGCAAGAAAGACTACATAGAACCATGGTACTGCCATATTATCTGAGGTTTGTTTGACTATTTTGTTCAAATGCGAGGTTTTTTATAGGCTTTCGTTGACCTTGGTCTACGAAAAGATCACAGCACAGGTGTTATGATTGAAATTTAATTTTTGATGCCCACTGCGGATTCTTTATGGTCACGGACGGAACCTTGACTTTTAGATATTGCTTTAACTTATTACTTCTTTCTTCGTATGTTCATTTTATATGAAGGACATAGGTAACTATAAATATTTTGTTCTTAAGTTGGCATTAGCAGAAGAAATGTAATAAGTGTATCATTTTTATGCTACCATTTTATTTTTAGAAGAAATGTAGGTATGTGTACATAATTAATATCGGACAGATTTATTTTTGTGATAGGAATATTTAACTCACAAGATAGGATGGGATATCTTGCATTTTTTTAAATAAATTATTATTTAAACTGTCAAACACCAAGCGGTCACCGGTGACCGCGACCTATTGTTCTTTAATTGTGTCTATAAAACCGGTACTCGACGAGTTAATCTAAGATCATACATAGATACATAACCGCATGTTTCCCATGGGGGTAGGCAGAGACTATAGAACCCTAATTGCTACTATTCTTCCATACCTCTTTCGCTTCATCAACAGTCATTAGTCTTTATTCTAAAGTCAAGTACATATAAATAATACACAGACATGTTTTATAGCATTTTATTACCAGCACTGGTCACATAATTGTTACAGTTCTTGTACAATATAAATAAATGTCGCCGATACAAAATACGAAATCAACTTGTCCTAAACTTTTGCACTATAGAACCTCAGTGCAGAGTCATGTCCGAGATACATTTCCTAGCCGAAACGATAATAAAAAAGTGAAACTACCAATTTTAAATACTAATCCTATATTTACAGTAGGGCTTATTAAATAATTGAATAATGTTTAAATAAGATTCGTAGCAAGCGCTTCCAATGACTTCAGTTGCAATAGCAGACCAAAGCTTTAAATCTAATAGAGAAAAATACGAATTAACCGTTGGAATCATAGCTCAGAAATGTAGGTAGGAAAGCTAGAAGATGAAGCTAAAGTAAAAAATGATAAGCGTATGACTCGAACGGGAATTCTCCTATCAAATAATCATGTAGTTATTAAGAGTCCTCGAAATATAAACATTAAACAGTTGTATAGACATGTGCCACATCACAGAGGGACACAATGCGATGTGGTCAGACGTCTACACAATGCTACATACAAACCAAAATTCCAAAATCATTTTGTAAATTAGAAATTCATTTTAAAATCGTAAAAGGTTACTTTTCAAGAGGACCTTTTATTATGCGTCAATGTAAAACTAAATTACTCACTAGCTAATCCTATATTTACAAATTACAAGAAGGTAGTGTCAACCACGAAGCTGGCAAGATTAGAAAAAAAACATATTTTCTAAATTTTAATATGGCTTTCATTTAAAATTATTCGGAAAATGGTAATCATTTGTTGACGAGTTTAGTAGTTATTTGATAAATAGTGGAGACTGTAACTTTACTATCACGGTATGACATAAAAAGTCTTACAAAACATAATTCTGAATTAATTTAGAGAGTATCCATTACATACTAAAAACGAACACAAAATAGGAAATATTATTGCAAAACACATTGCACGAGTATTGTTATAAGTAGACCATGCAATTAAAACTAACAAAATCGACGCTATCTTCACACTAGACGATTGAAAACACTTAATATCACAGTTTCCAATACATTTAGGACGTATTTTAGAGAATCGTAACGCATAGTTCGTTACTTTGAAATTGTCAATATTTGCTTTGTGACCATCGACATCTAAATGGCACTCTTCAATTGGTGACAAAACAATTTCTACTGTGAGTTACACATTCGATACCTCTCTTGCCTCGTTGGCTTTGATACATCTCATGTATCAACAATCAACATGTATTGTAATATCGAAAGTGGTTGTATTATTATGCTATAGTAACTATTTTGCTTATTCTCCGATGTCGTTGTCTATGCGTGAAGATCTGATGCCCGATTTGCCGGTCCATGGGTACACTTCGGGGCAAGGTTGACACGTCCTCATGTATCTGACTCCGGATTTGTGCCAGAGGTTGCATACTTTAGGGTTGTTACATTTTTTCGGCCGGTCCTGGAAAGAAAATTGCATATTTTTTACTTCTATTCAAGTATCACCGATCAGAGGTAAAACTAAGGATAGATATCAAATGAAAGTTACTGATTTCGCCATAGAAGCTATATTGCAATAAAATATTTACGTGATGCAACTAGTCTGACATAACAAAATACAAACCTGGTAGTTGCACTGGAACGGCTGGAAGTTGTTGAGTCTGCTGATAGGCGTGGGGTCTCTCACCCACTGCAGCGCTTGCCAGTTGGTGACGATCCAAACATCTTGCATTTGATTGATAAAGTCCAGGAACATGATGAAACCTTCCTTGTGGTGGGGCTGTGTGAACCACGCTGCGTGGTAGTAGAGACCGAAAGGAGCCCTGGAATCATTTTGACGTTTGGTAAGAATTTGGACATTCACAATTTTATTTTGTGAGAAATCGTGAAGTATATTTCTTAGTTGTTTAAACTGTCAAACACCAAGCGGTCACCGGTGACCGCGACCTATTGTTCTTTAATTGTGTCTATAAAACCGGTACTCGACGAGTTAATTAAAATAGACACAGATTCATTGTATTTTATATTTTTAGCACATCACATTGATAGGTAAGTCCAGTTAACTTTACATTATCTTTCTACCTTAATTGTTTTCTTATATCATTGCAGGTACAATATTTGGAACTCACCTATTGGTAGTATAATGTCTGTCAAAGTTCTTCAAGATCATCTTGTAAACGTTCTCGGCTTCGGGAGGATTGGCACAAGCATCACCCATAGAACAACGGCCTCCGTTCAGGTCCTGCCACATCACCATAGGAACCTCCCATACACCTGGAATCAATGCAATCATAACGTCAGCATGACACAGAAGTAAGGCCTTTAGTAAAGAAAACATCTACTAGTTCTTGTTAAACAAAGAAGATGATGTTTATACCTTAATTTAAAATGTATACTAGTTTGTTCTTATATTCACCTGGATAAGATTTCGTAGGGCACGGCGGGATCATGCAGTCGTGGAACAATTTGTAGTCAAGAGTGTAAGGCCAGCTTGGTGGTCTGTTCTCGTAAACAGGCAGTGATGAATCATAAGTGAAATTAGCATCATACAACATTTTGAACATTTTGTTGCCACCGACGGAAAGGAAGGGCGCTCTCATGCCTCTGACATCCTCAAGCTTGACACCTCCGTACGCTGCCAAAATTTCTCTCTGGCCACCCACTTCCCTGAACCATTTCTTTTGGGAGAATTGTTCTCCAAAGCTATGTCTAAAATATAAAATTGTATTAGTAGTCAAGTCACGTTGAATTAAGAAAATAAGTGAAATTTTTCGGGAAGTAAAGAATAGTTTTAAAGCATTTGAAGAAATTAAAGAAAAAAAATTATAAAGGAAATGCAAATAAGAACTTAACAAATCAAAAGTTAAACAGCAGAAATGAAAGTGGCAGAAAATTCAAAAGTATTCAGAAACAGAAATCATATAAAATTGAGTATTCCTTATAGATGTTGTGGGTGCATAAACTGTTGGGGTGTGGTGCAATAACTGTTCGGTAGTCGGTGAACTTACGAAATTGTGTGTGATGCCATCTCGTGTCCGGCTGAGTACAGGTTCTGTACTTGACTGTAATCGGTCCATTCATGGGACACGTAAAACGTTGCGGATATCGGACAACCATTGGGGTTGACGCGACCCTTCTCAAACAGGTCGGCGTACAGACCCTTGTTCAGATCGTTTACAGAGTCGTCGAAGGTCAGAAGAACAATCTGAGGCACCTGTTCCACCGGCAAGTCGCCTGTTGACGCGGGATGTAATGTGCGTGTGGGTGTGTGAGTTGTGCCAGGAAGAGGAAGAAAGAGTAACCAGGTTTCAAGAAGGATGGAAGAATTGAGGAAGAGAAAAAAAATAAAAACCATTAGTGTCACATATTATATGATAAGATAGTTTTATAAATACATACAATATACTTATATAGATGGCCATGAATACCCTGTTAGTGGCAAACCTGAGCCTACCAAAGATGCCGATAGGTTCAAGGATAACTTTTTGCTCATAAACTTACGAAACTGTATGAGAGCCAAATTCGTGGCCATCTGCATAAAGATTCTGCACTTGACTATAGTCAGTCCACTCGTGGGAGACGTAGAAAGTGCCGGTTATCGGGCAGCCATTCGGATTTTTCCGCCCCCTTTCAAAAATTTCTTCGTAGTACATTTTATTCAAATCGTTCACAGCATCGTCGAATGTTATCAAAACTATTTGTGGGACTTCGTGGACAGGTAAGTTTCCTAAGTCACAAATACTCTTTATAATAACCATTAATTTATGTAAGTGTTAGAATTCCAAATAAAGCTTTTAGTAACAGTATTACTCCATAATATTGAAAATTAACATTATACACAATAGTTCTTATGACATGTAAGACTTTTAGATTAACCTGATTTTAGAATATCATAAGATTTTTATTAATATGGCGACTAGGAACTTAGTCTCACCTGAGCTAGTAGATAAAAACAGGCTTAGTTGCATAAGACTAATAACATCACTGGTGAAAAATTGCTACACGATATTAAACTTTTGAAGCATGTTATTTTCTTTTCGTAAAATAATTTCTTGGCGTACCAGGTATTTCCTTGCCACCGCAGTAACAGTCGGGCAAAAGGCAGACGTCCTTCCTACACTTGGCTGCTGTCTTGTCAGGAGTGGGCTGCGGGTACACTGGGTCAGGTCGGCTCGGAGGGTGAGCATAGATATCAACAAACTCCGTGCTCTTGGAGACAATAGCCGTTGATGGTTTCAAGGTCGGTCGGCTGCGGCTGCTCAAGAGAAAAATGTTTTACATTATTTGAAATTAAGTGCTTAGAAATGTGCGTATAAGTATG